AATACACTAATGTGACTAGGTTTTCATGACATCTAACATATTTTTGTAAACGAAGCGAGACTCGGCGTTTTTTTTTATATTTTATAAAATGAGATTACCTTTTTGTAGAGGTAGACCTAGAAAGAGATGGATTGCGTGAAAGAAGGGAGTGATGACTGAGATGACGGATAGAGTTATTTGGAGGACGAAAACCCGGTGCGCCGACTCGGGAGTAGGATAAGGCAGGGGAGATGATGATGACCTTTTTGTAAAAAGCTTGAGCAACGAATTGATAACCTCCTTTGAAGTATATTCAAAAAGTAACATTGATAAACTATATACTATTTTGTTACATTAATATTTTTTTACGACAAAAAGGTCTATCTTAGATTAATGGTATCCATTGCGAACGCTTTTAGCGATCCGCGTCACTTTGAAGGATCACAATATGTCCTGAATGGGTCCAACGGAGCGGAACACGTCCCTTTTCACTGAGACACGTCGAGACACCTTAGTGCTTCATTGAGACATTTGACAAGCATTGTAAGGCACCGTGAATTGTATGAGTATTATCTTAGAGACACCTTTGATTTAAATATCGCACAACTGTGTAGTCTCGCTTTGATTCCTATGAGTTTATATGGTGGACTACTCGAGTTGTGCAACTAAACAGTTGAAGGCAGCGAAACAATCGACAATCGCACAACAGTTGCAATAGTTTAGTCAAAAATGTGCGCCCGCTCTTAGTAATATTACAAATGCGATTAGATGTATGGAGGTTTGTTTAAGTTTGTAGCCTATATAGTGCAACGAATCTCGATGATATTTATAATAGATGTAGACCACAGTTCTTTAAAAATACTTAGGCTATTTTTTAATTCCACGCGAATGGAGTTACGAGCAAAAGACTATACATGTAATAAAGTTGGATTGTCTGTATGTAACATCTTAAACTACTGACTGAAATTGTCGAACTGAAGGTCAAATGGTCAAGGTTAAATGGTCACTAAGGGAGTCACTTAAGATTTCATTAGAATCTATATACTAAATGGGTAACTATTTAAAACTTTTTCTAATGAAGAAAAGATTATATGTTTTTTAAGCAAAGGTTACGTAAACTTCGGTACCGAAATGACGAAACCTGCTCAATTTGCTCACGGTTTTATAAACTTTTTCTTTAGTGTAATTTTAACTTTAAATTAAAGAAATTTCGGGAAGTTTTAAAAATAATAGTAACTTTTAGTGTAATGGAAAGGTCGGTTGGTTTTTAACAAAGAGAAATTGTATTTTAAATGTGGGTTTCTAGAGTAACCTTAACAAAATCTTATTATCTACCTTTTTAAATAGAGAATAACTAATATTATAAATACGAAGTTTATATGGATGGATGTTAGAGTTTAGACGATGGGGACATAAACCAGAAAGTATTAAGAATGAATGTGGATGGCTACAAAGAGGAAGACCGAAGAAAGTATGGATGGATTGTGTGAAAGAGGATATGCTTAAGAAAGGAGTGGATTCAGATACGGCTGATAGAGATGGAGAGCACATGCTGTGCCGACCCTACATACGGGATAAGGGCAAGTTGATGATGATGATGTTTGTTAGAGTTTGTAGTCTAAACTTCTGAACGGATATCAATGAAATTTGGCATAGAAGTAGAGGATAGTCTGGAAGAACACATAAGTTACTTGTTTTTTAATTTCCACGCGAACAGACTCGCGGTTGAAAGCTAGTTCATAGTAACATCATGTACAGACGTATTAGACTTAAGATAAGCAACTTGGCACAGTTATGTTAAGTTAAATTAACTTGCTCTAACTTGGCTCTACTTGAAGCTTGTTACATGTTCTTATCTCTGAATCGATCTGAAATTATTTAACACTAGCTGTAGCTCGCGACTTTGTCTGGGTGAAATTATAAAATAATAAAAAGGTTTTTGTTACAGACAGATAAATTACCTTTGTAACTGTGAAAGAATTTTTAAAATCGGCCCAGTAGTTTTTGAGTCATTTCAATCTATACAAAAATACAAATCTTTCCTCTTTATAATATCAGTATGTAGTTTAAAAACATGGCTTTAAAATATAATTCTCATATCTATCTTTTAAAACCTCTCAAATATATCTTACTTACTTACTGCGTTGGCGCAGCGACCCAAAGTGGGTCTTGGTCTCCGACACGAGAGAGCGCCAGCGTCCTCTGTCCTGCGTTGTCGCCTGCCAGTCGAACGACTCTAGCTCGCGCAGGTCCAGCTCTACGGCCAGCGGTATCTCGCCAGCGGTATCTGGGCCGGCCGAAGGATCGGCGGCAAATCGGTATTCCGAGATACGCGCCCGATACAACCTGGAAATAGAAAGGCTGGTGGGGGAGCCAAACATCATAGGCGAAGTCAAAGCCCAGAGATTTCGTTGGCTGGGCCACCTGATGAGAATGGGAGAGGATCGTGGAGCCAAAAAAGCGTATCTAAAATATATCTGGGATATAAAATTAGAATTGTCTTTATTCATTGTTTTTGTGTAAATTGAAACGATAAAACAAATGACTATCAAAATGTTCTCTAACCATCTACTTAGAGAAAATCTTTTGTCTGTACAGTTTGAAATATTAGAGGTCGAGGGGAATATTAAAATTATCCCTGTGACTCGGTGGATTACAATCGGGAACATCTTGATTCTCTAAAGATTGCTGCAACAATCTGGGTCAAATTTTAACGCTATAAAACATGCCTTTTGATGTCTTTAGATATTGTTATTTCTTTCTAGAATAGGAAGTTAAAAGAACTGTAATTTATTTTAAATAATAAGTATCCATATAGTATTCCAAACAAGGGGTTAACACGAAAATTTCCGAGAAAGTATTGGTAACATCATTGAATATTAGTGCTACCCTTTAGAAAAAATTGTCGATAACATATGTATACTTTCTCGAAAATTTTCGTGGCATGCCTTCTATTTATTAATTTAAAAAAATGTTATTCTACAACTCAAAGTTTTTATATACATGGATTTAATTAATACATAAGAGAAGAAAAACGTACTTAATATAAATGCGACAATTTGGATGGATGGATGTTTACTACATATTTCTAAAGCGGCTCAACGGATCTTGATAAAATGCTGTACAGATTTAGAACATATTAGCAACTAAGTTTTATTTTATTTCGGGCGGACGAAGTCACAATCAGAAGTTAGTATAAAACTAAATGTCTATTTAAATTGCATTTTATACGTACAGAATTACGTTGAATAAAATGTATCTATGTAGTGGAAAGTTTACCTTCGCATTGAAGTGGAAAATCGTTTCGAGAGCCTCTATCGGTGGAACTTTGTAATTTCCCCGCACAACTTGGTGCCCCCTTTAAATTCATTTTCCGCGGTAAAGCGGAGCTAAATTAATTTAAGTCCCGCACAAAGTCGGCCACAGATTAAATATAGAGGAAATTTAATTAAAAAGACTTAAGGAAATGCCGGCGTTCGCCCACTTTAATAACCTTGTTTTAGTTTTACAAGGAGAGGGTTGTCGTTCATTTAAGGCCAGTTTTAACATTGCCGAAATACGAGTACATAGTGTCGACTTCTCTTTCTCACACTCTATTAAGTCTATATGATAATAGAGACAGCAATACTCTTAATAATTAACAGTGGTAGTGCCCGCTTTACCATCTTAGCACGAGCGGGCCGGCACGCCCGGTGTTAAACCACGACCACACAGAAGACAGGGGTGAAATGGAATCAGTTCCGTGTTTCGTCTGATGAGTGTGGTACCGGAGGCCTTATTTAAGTCCCTTTCTCTCTACCACCCTTTTGTCATAAGGAGAGTATGGGAAGGGGAAGTGGATTTGACGGTGGAGGAGATGCATAGGAAGGGGAAATATCCTCTTCATGTGTGTCTACTCCGTCGGATAAGGGTGGGCAACGCGTCTGCAATTGCGGATGTCTATGAGCAGCGGTCGCTTCGCCATTTTGGCGGATTCAGTTGGTCGTTTGCCACCTTATGATATAAAAAAATAATAATAAAAGATTATTGTAGTGTCACTTGTCCGGCTTAATAGTTAGGATTGCGTCACGTATGCGTTGCGTTACAAGAGAGAGACAAAAGATATGCTTTGAGATGAGAGTAAAAGAGATAAATGATAAATATAAAGTGAACATTATTGTACCTTTAATTACATTTGTAATACGCTTTTTAATCCTTATGTACTATGAACATTAAATCCTTTATGTACATAAAAGCTGAATACAGTTTCAGTAACGTCTTAGCTTCCTTTAGCATCCGTTAATTAAATCTCAAAGCCTTATCCATTGCTCCATACATAGATTCTTAGAGCTTTGAGAAGATTTCCTTTCATCTAAGAAACTTCTTAATGTTTCCGACAAATCGAATAATCCTTAATGAATGCTCCTCGTTTCCTTAATTAATATTTACATAAATAAGTAAATCGTTATTAACAGATTTTGACGGCCCGTATTAGAGGAGAGTTGCCTACTATAAAAATCAATGGAAATGGAGGAGGCTTACGTCAAGAGGCACGCTGAAATTAGAATATTATAACGCCATACTGCGCAGGCGGACGACTTCTCTTTTACGCAGATTTCGGGAGAGTACCAACAGCATCTTAAGAGGGCTAAGTGACAAGCCCGACTGTCCTATTATGGGCGGCCTGGCTATGCGCACACGTAGCCGGCATTAGGTCATGTTCTAAGTAGATCTAGTGTTTTTTTGTCAATTGTAAATACATTTTATAACTTTGTAATTCTTAAATGATTTCAGTATAAAAGGTCTATATTACTAATTGCATGTTTTAAATTGATGTAACACAGATAGGGCCTTTCCCACCACTGATAGAGAAGCTTTAAAATGACTTCACTGTGACATAAGGGAACAAAATCTGATCCATCACATATTTTACACGTTGGATTGTTATTAGACAATTTACAATTTGGTGGGACAGGCCCTTAATCTCTTATTATATAAGTATTACTTATGTTTTAGAAACAATTCAATTGTTTTTTTTCTAGGATAAAGAAAGTATGAAAATGCGAGCGTATAGTAAGTCGTGACGTCAGAAAGTCGCTGAGACCACTTCACGTCGTTCACTAAAACAAGATGGCCGACCCTGATGCCTTCGATGACGAGGTAAGATTTTCCGTTTATTGTAAACTATACTAACAGAACAAACTTTATTATGTAGAATGTCTTTGAAACAATGTTTTAATAAACACACTTACGACTTACTTAGGCTAATAAACTTAGTGGCTAAATAAATTGGATACTACTAGTTATCACCTGTGACTCTGTCCGGATGGAATTAAAAAAGCAAAACTAAATATCCTATGCGTTCTTCCAGACTATACCCTAAATCTATGCCAAATTTTATCGTAATACGTTCAGCCGTTCAGGCGGCAAAGTCCAACAAACATCCATCTATCTAAACTTTCGCATTTATAATACTAGTCAGTATATTGTACACATCAGACAGTAAAGCTGTCTACAATAACAAATGTAAAGATAAAAATCTAATTGCGTCGTATAGTAAGAGATAACTTGGATAAATAGCATTAATTGGTTTGCGTTGGTCAACTAAGTTCGTTAAGCGGCAGGAAGGGGACGCCTTGTTTGTAACTTGAGTGGGAAAAGTTGTGACCCAACTTATAGCGGGGAAATAAAAATATAGGCTATCCAAATTATCGGTGGGAATCCAATATACGAGCTAAATTATTTTTTAGAAAGTTAATTACGTAACATTGACAAGATTTACAGTGGTAGAGTCCGCTTTAACATCTTTGCAATGTAGGGCTCGCCTGGTTTAATACCACGACTACACAGAAGACGTCAAGTGGGCGCAATTCTGCGTCCAGTCTGATTATCTGAGGCCTAGGTTTAGTACCTTTTCCCTTCCTTTTCCACCTTTTTCTATAAGAAAATTCCGCCTCTATTACAGTCTAAACAGTAATGATAAAAAACAAAAATCAAAAACAAAACACAGTTGTGTCATTTCCCTGCATTATTGCAGACATTTACAGCAAACATTTTGTATACGAAATGTCGACAAATGATCCAATTTAGTGTCGGAAAGCGCACGTCGCTGCCGGCAGTACTAATTGCTTTTGCGTAACTACTTATATCAGGCGTTTATGTACTAAGGGAAACTCTTAGTGTGCAATCTTACTAAAGCTATACTAAGGGAGAATATGTAACACTCCTAATAAATACTGAAATTTCTGTAAATTATTAACTAGTTTTATTTATATATATTTCTATTTCAACGGGCTTTTAATCAATGTCAGATTTTTTAAATTAATTTAGATTAATTCTGGGTTTCTGAGGTTTTAATTTATTTTGTTACTAAGTTATTCATTAGTTTTTAATAAAGCTACATTTCAATGGATTAAATTCAATTTACGTAATTCAGAAACGCATTTTATGTTATGAATGGTTAAAGCTGGGAAACCGACCATCAGGCCGGGGTTGTGGACGTAAGCGAAAGCGTACCCGTGGCCCCGATCTAAGGCGTTGGAGAATCGAGGGGTTTAGTAGGTATGTCCCCTTTTATGGGGGGAGAGTCCCACATAACAACCGCGTCCCCCTGGGCGCGGAGTATGCGTAAGAAGCATTCTTCTCGGGGATAAAAATGGGAAACCGACCATAAACATTTGGGAACCTTTTTGTTAATTAAAATTTCATTTTATTTTCTTGTTTTTATCGTTTCAATCGAACCCGTTTTAGATGGATATAGAAATCGTTTTTCAATGGAAATATTTTACATTGTTCCACTTTGCTTGAAAACTTTTAACAATAGGATACTGTTAGCTGTTAGGATATTGCTTTTTTGTACGAAAAAATAACTGACTTTCGGCTGAATGTTGAATAGATATGAAAAGTTTAATTAAATTGACCTTATCAGTAAACGCTGTATCATTATTATTGCATATATCATACTAATATTATAAATGCGAAAGTTTAGATGGATGGATGTTTGTTAGAGTTTGTAGCCTAAACGGCCGAACGGATTTCGATGAAATTTGGCATAGATGTAGAGGATAGTCTGGAAGAACACATACTGCTACTACTATTCATTTTTGTTTTTTTTATTCTACGCGGACGGAGTCGCGGGCGAAAGCTAGTTAATACATAATTAAAAGTCGTTTTACAATTCAACCGACGGCTTAATAGAAATTAATTTTTTTGGTTATTTAAACTTGTTGTTTCGACTTTATACAGATGTTTTTTTAGATGGTTTTTGTTAATTAAATTACAAGAAGTGAAATGAATTAATTCTCTCATTAAAAACAAAACTATATGTTTATATATGCATTTCTTTTATGAACTACTAGTTGTTTCCGTGCAGCTTCATCCGCATACAATTATAAAAAATCATTTTATTGTTCACATTTGTCAAATTATCAATTGCAACTGTCAAAATGGCATGATGTCAAACCATGGCAACCTTGCTTTTTTGATGTTGGCAACAACTTTTAGTCGCTTTCCCAAATGATGGTTTTTATCCAAAATATTTAGCCCTAAGTTTAACGGCGGGATAATTTATAGCCTAGTAGGGCTTTTTATTGAAAAGAGAGTTATTCAAAAATATGCTGTAATTGCTGGCATCTTAGACAACAAAGAAGTGTGTGTTTACGCTTTATTATAATAGAGTAGATAATAAAAATCTAAACGCTGGCAACCCTGTCAGGTCACAGCTGTATTCAGCTTTACTTTGCAAATAAAACCCGCTATAGTTCTGCATGAAACTTTCGCAGTAAATTTTGTCGTAATATCAAACTAAGAAAGTAACAAACAGGCTTTGTATTTTCTGAAGTGATGATTTTAGATTAAATCCAATTTTAACAAATCTTACATCGATTTACTCGAATTTATTTTTCACATTATGTGTAAGCTTCAGTTTTTATTACTGAAAAACATGTACAATAAACACATTGTAATTTTTATTTCGAAAAACGTATCTTACTAACATTATAAATGCGAAAGTTTAGATGGATGTTTGTTGAAGTTTGTAACCTAACCCGTTGAACGGATTTCGATGAAATTTGGTATAAATGTAGACGATAGTCTGGAATAACAAAGGTTACCACTTTTGTTTTTTTAATACCACGCGGACGGAGTCGCAGGCGGAAGCTAGTATTAATATTTTTACGTCATAAGAAATATTATAATAACTAAAGTACCAGGGCTTAATAAGTCAGAAGAGGCGACAAAAACAACTTTATTCATGAAAGCGCATTTCCACCATTTGGTATGCAAAGTCACAGCCTTAACGTGGAGTCTGAAACATTAAGATTTCACGATTTTAACACGATTTATTCAATTCCGTTTTTATTAAATTGAAATTTGAACTTTTAAATAAAAATCTTAAGGCATTGTATAGTAGCGCCATCTAGAATATAACTTTGTTGCCTAAGATGTCAGCAATCACATCATATTTTCGAATAACTCTTTTTTAAAAAAGCTCTACACTTACGTCACGCTTTAGGCTTTATATTTCCACGCCGTTAAACTTAGGGGTAAATATTTTGGATACAAACCCTAATGTGGGAAACAGACTATAAGTTGTTGCCAACATCAAGGAAGCAAGATTGCCATGGTTTGACATCATGTCATGTCATTTTGACATTTGTAATTGATTGACAAGTGTGAACAATAAAATGAAATTTTTATAATTTTATGCGGATGAAGTTGCATGGGGACAGCATCTATATAATTAAGTAAAAGACACTGTTATCTGTAATTAATAACACATTTTTTTAGTGTAATTCAGAAGTAACGATTTGTTCTACGCGGAACAGTTGCAATACTAAAAATCCCATTTCCAAACAACATAAAAAAGCTTTTTAAAAACTAGCTATCTTTTATTTTCGCTATTCAAACTCCAATTTATTGCATTTCATTGAAAAAAGGCTTTTAATTGAACCTATAGAGCAATCGTGTTATCTAGTCCATGCATAAACTTTAAGTTTTTTTTTTATTTTAATTTGTATTTTTGCTGATAATTCTCACCGCTACAGTCTTGTAAATAAATAAAATAAAATAAAATCAAGCAATATCTATACTATTATAATAAAGCGTAAACACACACTTTGTTGCCTAAGATGTCAGCAATTACACCATATTTTTGAATAATCCTTTTTTTTAATAAAAAGCCCTACACTTACGTCACGCTTTAGGCTATATATTTTCACGCCATTAAACTTAGGGGGTAAATGTTTTGGATCAAAACATAATGTGGGAAAGAGGCCATAAGTTGCTGCCAACATTAAGGAAGCAAGGTTATTATGGTAACGGTAAATTTGACATTTGCAATTGAGCATGTGACAAATGTAAACAATAAAAAAAGCTTTTATAATTTCATGCGAATGAAAGCGCACGGGAATAGCTAGTTTATGTATAAAACAATAATTTAAAAAACTATAAATACAACTTCGATTTATGACACTCTTGAGAATATCTAATGACACCCAATGGAAATGACAATGTCAGTTTTAGCTTAACTATCGCCCTGGGCGAGATTTTAAGGATACCCTCTCACCAAGAGGGGCGTTATTAAGTTTTATATGAGAGTAATTCACAGACCTTTAACGCTCTTAACTGACGCCCTGGGCGATAGACCAATTACGTCATATCCTAACGACACTAAGAATTACCATATAAAGTTCTATACCTAACACATACTTTCATTAGGTTAAATAAAATGCCAAAATTGGACAAAAATATTAACATAAACGCTTTTTCAGAAAAAACGTTTTTAAAATGTATCTCTTTGTTGTTAATCCAGGGACATCTAAGTACGGTTAGTGACGCCTTATTTATTGGACAGTTTCGTAGCTTTATTTCGGAACGTTTGTCGGCCGCTTGGGACCTCTATATAAAACCTGCAAACTTCGTGTCTCAAGACAACTAAATTTATGTTAAAAAATTGTAACTGAATGTTGAATTTAGATTGTAGGTTTTTAATAATCTTACTGTTACTAATATAAATGTGAAAGTTTAGATGGATGGGTATTACTTACTACATTTTTCCAGAACGCATAAACGGACCTTGAAACATTATCACAGATGTAGACAATAATCTGTATGAATACGACTTACAATTTATAATTTAGTACGGATAGAGTCGC